CGTGATTTTTTGGACTTGGAGCAAAATTCTGCACACTTTCGCGTGTTTCCATGATACGACAAGTTGCGCACGGTCTGTTCACATTCAAATACAGTGCTGCCAACAAATGACAGCGTGCAACAAAAAAATCTTTCCTTGCAAGGGCACATTTTCGGCCATAACTCTTGAACGGCTGGTCAGATCGAGACAAAAATTTCAGAGATTTTGCAGCTGTTCATGGCCCACAGCCCTGTACTGTGTCAAAGCCGCTATGGAGAGTAACCACTGGCGAACCGATTACGTCATAGTGCTACAACGTGGTGGAGCTTGTGGGAAATTTTACGCCGGATTCAGCGGCAGATTGAATAAAATTATGTGCAGCCGTTCTTCCTTTCTGACCCAGACCAAGAGCATTATAGCCCTTGTTGAAGTATTATAATCAGCATTATAAGATAGTTTTTGGAGCATTATGAGTAGCATTATACGAACATTTTCGGAGCATTATCCTCTGGACCCTAGCCTAGGCCAATCGAGCACTCGGAAACTGTGATCGCATGCGTGAGCAAACAGATTTTAGCACTTTTTCAGCTTAAACGCTCAAAATAGGGGGATATTCACCAAAAAATGCAATGGGGCTGTTAAGTGTGACGTCACGGCTCCTTCGATACGCATAGCAACGGAGAGCACTGGGGACAAACAAAAGTCGCGTCCTCTGGATGGAACCAGATGTCAAGGGCAACAGCATCTAAATGACGGGAGAGACAGTTGTTTTTCTTTGCTTTTTCTTCAAGCGATTGTTGTCGCTCTTTACTCCTTGTTCTTTCCTCTACAAAACTCCTGTAGTCGTCGAGTGCCTTCATGATGGCTGTGAAATTGGCTGCCCACAGTAAAACTCCGTGTTTGAGAGTGCTTTGAAGATGTTTCGCGTCCTGATGGATCAAAGTATGAGCGCTCCTTGTGGATTCGATTATATATAGGTGAGGTGTTCAAGAAATCAGTGTCTTCTTTCTGTCTCTGCCCTCACGCTGGCACAGTATCAGCCTCTATATCCATGACAGCTCGTACCTCCCGTAAACTGCATGACTTAGATAATATTTTCGCCTTCCGTGGTGATTGAAGACCCATGGAAGAATTTATTATGTTCAGAATGATGTCCTAAGAATATAAAATAAAATCGTTCTAGGGAATTGTCATAGGGTATTTTTGGAAGGATGGAGACAGAGAGAGAGAGAGAGAGCACTGTTTGAAGTGTTTGTCTCACTGTAATTACTCCAGATTATTGAATGTTGTATGATCTACTCTAAATTTTCCATAATGGTTTTTCCTGATTTGCGGGATCTCTTCTTTTGCTGTTTGCGTGTTTACAGGAAGTGGCTGTCTGGTGTAACTGCACCAGATCCTGGGGAAATTAAGTCAGATGCAGAGGCAGGGTCGTCCAGTGATGCAACACTGCCGTTCTGTGTGCAACGTTACCGCTAATACCCCCGGCGAAAACACAAAAAAAGACAAACACGTGAAAAGACTACAGTATTGACCGTTCTGCTAATAAATGCATGACTGCTCCGACAGTCGATAATCGAAACACAGAGCACCAGCATGATGTTTTCATATTGGGAACCACACAACAGCTCAATTCTCAAGCCCAAAAATTGATGAATACAAATACAGAGCGACGCAACAAGAGGTCATCCGGCAACCAAACAAAACTGGGTCTAATGCACTGAATAGTCCTGAAATACGCAGGCCAGACAAAGCAGTGCAAGCACATAATGTTACAAGGTACATGCATTGCAGAACAAAGTGTAACCAAAGATACACAGGGTTATAGCTGCACACTTGTGCATGTGCTCGCTCAGCCCAAGAACACACGATCATGATGATAGAAACAATCCGGGGGAAACACGCTAATGTAGTATCCCTGCCTTGCTAGTACTGAACTGTTATGTAGCTGACTACTACATCTACATCTATTTTTACCTCTAATCATGTCACATGTACACGTACACACACTGCATGACTCTTGTCACTCCTTTGCTGACAAGCCTGCAAAGCTAATTATAATTATCACTTCTCACCACTACACACTAGTTGTGTTTCTCTTGCGCTTGCTGGATTGCATACTACATATCTTTGCTAGTTTAGATCATCACACCTATATGTACATGTAGAACTAACACCCACATGTTGTACTGTACCTCCCTGACCCTGACTGAGGTCATGCGGACAGTCATGACCCTTTCTAGATCCTGTTTGCATCCATTTGCTAATGCCCTCCCTGGCCTCTGTTCTCCTCCAAAGTTCCGTTTGCTTCTTTCATCCTTATACATTTAGATACTGTTGCTATGCCTTCCCAAGTTCTGTTTGGACTGACACAACAGACTTTTGCCCTTTTTCATGACTCATGGCTCATGCAGACGCTATGATGATCTCCTTCCTTTTCGCCCTATAAAAGCTGCCATGCTTTACTCATTTCTGAGAACATAACCTAACAGAACAGAACAGAGTCCCTCCTGGCAGATTGAGCCGGAGCAGTTGTATACATAACTTCAGGCAGATTGAGCCGAAGAACATAATATTAACCAGTCTTCTTGTGTGTGCCTCCTGATACCACTCGGCGACCTATTACACTGGTGGCAGCGGTGGTTCAATTTTATAATTGCTAGATTCGAACCCACCTAGTATCTGTATTACACTGGTGGCAGCGGTAAGATTCGAACCTACCTATTACACTGGTGGCAGCGGTGGTTATTCCTTTGTAAGACTCGAACCTACCTATTACACTGGTGGCAGCGGTGGTTCAATTTTATAATTGCTAGATTCGAACCCACCTAGTATCTGTATTACACTGGCGGCAGCGGTGGTTAAAGTTAACGACGTTCCTTTGTAAGATTCGAACCTACCTATTACACTGGTGGCAGCGGTGCGTGAATTCGTCCCTGTAGATCTGTTTACGCAACTTCAGTCTTGTTAATGTTATGTTGTTACCATCCTTAGTCAATCGTTGTCGTTAGTCTCGTTGTTAGTACCTATTACATTGATGGCAGCCTCGAACGATGAGCGGAAAGCACCGTTAATTGGCCCCCACCGCGTTTCTAAACCCATGAGGACCTGAGAACGATGCAGAATCCCGGTTCGTCAGTCCATCCATACAGCAGATCGACGCTGTCACGTACGCATTTCGGCAAAATGGATCACCATCATTCTTCAGCGAGTTTCCATGCCCGGTATGTCCCTGGACTACAGCCACCGGTATATGTACGACCCAAGCGACGTCGGCCCTTTCGTCTTCGCCCATATTGCCGATTTTGCAAGCAGATTGGCCATGCCATAGCGTATTGCTATCGTCGTCGCGATACACGGCACATCTTCCCTTCAACCCAGGTATGTCACCATTCTTGCTCTATCCCTACTCAATCATCAACCCGGTCAAATGCAACTGTTACTAGTACACATGCCACCCCTATCATGCCCGCTACGCCGCATATTATGCAAGCTTCCCCATCCAGCCGTAGTTTCCATTCTGTCCTGATGCTCCTCGCTGCCATATCCCTATCACTAACTCGTTCTGCTGCCAAAGTTGTTCCCCTGCTAACATCTCTCACATTTAGTGTGTTTGCTACACTACACGCGATACACCAGGCCCTCCAGGTTCCTTCAGCCACTCCATCCCACAGACAATCCCACTCCCAGTCACCGTCCCACCATTCGATCAACAGCCTAGGACTCACAACTCTCCATATACCTTCATGTACGTGCAGATACATGCAGTACACAGTTCTAGATCACTCAACATTTCGCCGCACTGAAGCTTCCCTACGACCGCTTTCTCAAGTTTCTGACCACAAAGTTTCCTAGCCTTTTCATCACCCATCCCGATCATGTCCACCCCGTACCGACCAAGCAATCAGTTTCAGACCCAAAATACTGTATACCCTGCAAGCACGCACTCAAATAACCAGTCCATGTAACATGATATACCGCCACATGATGCGCGAGTCTACTTTTCCCGTTGTACCGTCCCAGAGAGACGCGAATGAAGAACTGTTACCGTCCACAGTGACGCGATTTTACACATCCTTTTTTTACCGTCCGAAATTTTTCCCGCTCCACAGAGAGACAGGTCATTAAGGCGTTCACACATTATACACACAGGGTCCCTACTTTATTATCAGTCTACCAAGCCTTGTTTAATACTTTGGAAAAATCACGAGGGCGTGATTATCTGTAGGAAGGGAGGGTGTAGTATCCCTGCCTTGCTAGTACTGAACTGTTATGTAGCTGACTACTACATCTACATCTATTTTTACCTCTAATCATGTCACATGTACACGTACACACACTGCATGACTCTTGTCACTCCTTTGCTGACAAGCCTGCAAAGCTAATTATAATTATCACTTCTCACCACTACACACTAGTTGTGTTTCTCTTGCGCTTGCTGGATTGCATACTACATATCTTTGCTAGTTTAGATCATCACACCTATATGTACATGTAGAACTAACACCCACATGTTGTACTGTACCTCCCTGACCCTGACTGAGGTCATGCGGACAGTCATGACCCTTTCTAGATCCTGTTTGCATCCATTTGCTAATGCCCTCCCTGGCCTCTGTTCTCCTCCAAAGTTCCGTTTGCTTCTTTCATCCTTATACATTTAGATACTGTTGCTATGCCTTCCCAAGTTCTGTTTGGACTGACACAACAGACTTTTGCCCTTTTTCATGACTCATGGCTCATGCAGACGCTATGATGATCTCCTTCCTTTTCGCCCTATAAAAGCTGCCATGCTTTACTCATTTCTGAGAACATAACCTAACAGAACAGAACAGAGTCCCTCCTGGCAGATTGAGCCGGAGCAGTTGTATACATAACTTCAGGCAGATTGAGCCGAAGAACATAATATTAACCAGTCTTCTTGTGTGTGCCTCCTGATACCACTCGGCGACCTATTACACTAACACCGAAGTAAGCATCAACACGTAAATAGTGCAGCTCTGAAAAAATTACATTGACATGTACTTTGGTGTGTCGAGTAGTATCAGGCTTGAATAATCATCCAACCAAGACTTCATCAGGTCCCAGACGCTGAGATCGCACGCCGAATGTGAAGTGCATCTAGCCTTGAACCTGTCGCACAAGGCACACATGGCAAAATGACATCCACTCTGATTATTTCCAGAGGCCAATCATGACAGAACACAGAAATGAAACCACGGGCTCAACCAAGTAAACGCAAAGGAAGTTAGTCAAAATAATCCATGCAGTGCTCTTTTAATAGTCCTTATGCACATTGTACAGATGTACGAAGTTCTGTACTATGGCCGTAGGTGTGTACATACCCGGTTGGGTGTTCATTGTGTGCTATACATGTGCGTTTGACCCATTTAGCCTCACAATTCATGGCAAACGATCACTTTTCAAGCCTTCTTCACTTTGGGATTGAACTAACGACTAGCTAGATCTCTGACGGAAAAAGATTTCGTATGAAATGCCTTCATGGCCCATTTCATAGTGGAAATAGCAGTAAACACAATAGGGTCCTGCACATTCAACACCCAACCGGGTCTACGGGATTCTACAAGATTATACGGGATTTCGTGCATCTGTACAATGTGCATAAGGCCTATTGCAGCGCTGATTGCAGTGTTGCGTCATAGCCCGATACCCGCTGAGCACAGACACAACTCCATTCGTCAGGGGCAAGACATACTCTTTTGGAATAAAGTCATAAAGTACAGCGTTCCAATGACATTACGGACACCTCATGTAAATGCATGGTCTGTTCATCTGGCCGACTCGGCCACGCATGAGAGTGTGTGCATGTACATGCGCGCGCTTGCACGCGCGCACACACACACCATGTATTCGGTGCGTATGGTATACCAGTTGCGGGACAATGAAGATGGAATCATTATCATGATGTTACATGTACATCTACAGTGTATGTTTGAGTGTAAAGTAAATTTTATTTTATTGCACATTTCTTCGACACAACTAATTACTTACTTCACATGTTCGCATTTCTCATAATCGATCCATCTGCACTCCGTATCAGTCGAGGAAAAATTCTCCCAGATATACACTAGTCACCACAGCCATGTGATGACATTGGGATGGGCCCCAAGCAGTGCACGATTGCACTCTCTAGTTACAATAAATTTGGCCAGATTATCTGTGAAGACAAAATGCAATGCATAGCGCCAATCGATGGATGAAGAGAGAGTTTGTAAATACCCATATCTTTCCACTTGTTCAGGAGCTTACCTTTTGGAGTTCACATCGTTAACACGATCTCTCATGCTGTCTTGCACCTTGGTTTTGTTGACCATGGATAGGCCAACCCAGAAAACATTCTACAGGAGCTACTAATGCAGAGCGTTTTTCACGCTCGATCTCGGCGATCTACCTTGTCACGCCAATAAAATACTCCATGACACTGGCTACAGTCACAAGAGACGTCTCAGTAAGGTAATGAGCACGACAACATCGTCGAGATCAAGGACAAAGAGAAAACAAAACACTCACTGAAAACAGCAAAGAAGAAACGAAGAAATGTACACGATTCCTATATGTTGCCACTGACAACTGGGTCGGTGGAGACGACGCTACTTTTGTTTGTCCCCAGTGGGATCGTTGTTATGCGTATCGAAGGAACTGTGACGTCATCACTTAACAGCCCCATGAAGGGCGAAAAACCGGGCTTTTCCAAAAAGGTGCGAAAAGGGCGAGCACATTTGGGAAAGGGCTAGGGGTGAGCCAATGAATACGTGGAAGGAGAGAAGTGTCTGTAGGGCCTTTCCTATCAAAATAATAAATTCTACTACTATTCTAAAAAATTCTAAGTGTGGTGGTGGTGGTGGTGGAGGGGGCGGGCACTTATTATACACGGAAATGAGAAAAAGCTGGTGTGAAATGTAGGAAATAAACGGGGATACACACACACTCGCGTATCCACAGACGTTGATCGACAGAAAAATGCATGTACATACATAAACACAAATGCAAAAGTTTAAAAACATACCATTGGACCATTGGACGCCCATCGCCGGAGGCGATGAAAGCGATGCTACAGCAAAAGCCATAGCAACTTGTGCTGGGATTGCACCATTCAACAGCTTACACACACACGCACACACAGGCGGGCAGAGATCAAGTCGGATGTCCATCCACTTGGCTCCTACGCTCCATGAGGATTCATTTCTTTTTGTCGTAGTCCATCTTTTCGTGGAGTGTTTCACAGAACTCAATGGCATAGAGTATCAAGAAGACTATGTTCTTGGCTATGAATATTCCGACTTTGCCATTCTTCATTTTCCAAGCGATAATTCGCATCACTAAGAAGGCCAGGTTGGCCACCATGGATGCGAACAGGTATCCCAGCTTGTACTTAATGAATTCGGCATCGTGATCTATCGTGATCTGCGATTCACGGTCACCTGCACCTGGTGCATTCCCTGAGTCGCAGCCTTGTGGTGGTGCCTCGCCTGCTCTCTTGTCCGCCGCCAGGGCGCGACGGCGTGACCCGACGGCGACTAGGGCAATGGTGGGCAGTAGGAAGCTGACTGCTCCGCAGACCGCCATTACCTCGGCCAAGCCACCGCTCAGGGAGTCGACCATGTCATGGGATTCGTCGTCCTTGTGAACGTAGCGGCCGTCCATGAAGAGCATATCCAAGAACTCAGAATTGTCGAACAGGTCCACGACAACATTATTCGACACGCGACCCATTGTATGATCGGGCCCATGAGCGGCGTGCCTATTTCCATGACCCTGTGTTTGTGGAGTCAGGCTGGCTTCGGAGCTGGTGCCTGCATTGGGCGGCCTCGCAATATCGAGACTTACACTGCCTTCGGCTCCGTTCGTGCGGTACGAGTGGTTGACAATGCCGGTTGTGCGCTGGCCGGCATCCGGCTGCTGCTGCTGCTCCTGCTGCTTCCCTTTACAGCATTGCAACTCGTGACAATGTTCGTTGGCCAGCACCAGGCACAAGAAGACCATACTAGTCCCGCCGACCGTGGCCTTCACCCAGTTGGCGCCCAAGTCATGGCGATCTGAACTGTTCAGGTTCTTGGCAATGTAGATGAAGATCGGAATCAGCTTGGCGGCCAGAAACACGCTATACAGTAGCCACGCACTCCATAGATATCCGGTCGAGTGCATATCGAACTTGGGATACACCAGCATATATAGCCAGAACAAGCAGGTGATAGCGTCGGGAATTGCGAACAGCCAATAGAGCACGTTGTCTGGGGGTGGATGCTTCACCAGGACGTACATTAAAACCGCAGCTTGCGCTGCGTAAAACGCAACGGCAAATAGTCCTAGGAACTTACATAGAAACCACACAATGAATCTCCAGCTCGCTAGAAAAGGCGGTTTGAGGCAACACAGCACGTCCCTGCATGAACTGGCCATGCTGACACGTTCATAGGCGATCCTGTACGTTCCTCAGTCTGAAGAAAACCTTCGAAAACGTCGTATTGGATAGCTGCCTGCTACTTGCAAGTCAGTTCCCGGTCAGTTATAATGGAGTCCGTCACAGAGAGAGAGAGAGAGAGAGAGAGAGAGAGAGGGAGAGAGAGAGAGAGCGGAGTTCACCAGGTGTACTCTGTGATCGGGAGGCGGTTTCGCATGTGGATCTGGATTCTGACGCTAGATGGCAATGCCTTGCAACAACCTATGTTCCCAGGCGCACGTCCGTGTACAGGTAGTGTATGCTTGAGCTCAGTGGTGCTACTGGCGCCATATACACTGCTGGCAACTGAAATCCGACTCCCTCGCCGGCGCGCCGCGCCGCCCGGGGGGTCGGATTTCAGTTGGCAGCAGTGTACATGTACATACACGTAACAGTAGAATTTGACCGGCCACTAAAATTCCCACTAGTACAGGTGACCCGTACAATGATATTACCGAAGTAGAAGTATGTAGAATTGAATGCACCCGCTTCGCGTAGCAGCAGAGAGCTTGCGTGGTCCGCAGTACCGCGATCGCAGTGGCAGTTGCGATATTTTCATTCAACGGACAGCGCAGTGGAATCTTGGAATCAGGATATCGAAACAAGCATGGACGCGAAGACTCCTGACAGATAGTGCTCAAAGGTCCTGGCTTCTGCTAAGGTGATTTTCCTGTACTAAACTACTTAAATGGGTACAGTGTACATTTTGTTACAGCCAGAGCACTGGAGCGTTGATGTCCACGTAAAGTTTAATGTTCCGGTTTTCGTCGCCAAGCTTCTTTGCGATTGCTTCGGACATTAACTCTTCAACCAAACACTTGATACATGTTCATGTACGCAAGAAGCATAAACCCAACGTCTTATTCATGAGTAGGACTAAAGGGACAAGCCCAACTTTTTTTGCAGTTTTCTGTCATAAAAAAATAAACGTCACAGGCTGCTCTTCGCAGGTGTCCGCGACGGAGCGGTCCGGGCGAGCGACCGCATCTCAGTGGGACACTTGTCCGTGGCTGTTGTACTGGAAATCTGTGGCAGAACCTTGCCATGCCAGAGGCTACACACATCCGGGTACCTATACCGGGACAGAAAAATCCTTGGTGTTGCTCCTTTCATTTTTATTTGTTCTTGCTGAGAAAGAAACGTTGCTGCTTGGAAAGCTTTCTGTTCACTCCAGCGACTTTCCTCTAATAACATTGCTCACTGATAATGATCATAGCTCGTGATGCCAATGGTGAAGAGAAGCTGGGTTTCTTGCCATTTGCAACTTCCTGGCTCTGAAAATATAGCTTGAACAAATAAGAGCTCCAAGTATTTTAGTTTTAGATTTCGATGTGCCAGACCTATCGTTACGAGATGCAGAGATGAGGAGCAAGGGAGGCGTTGGATTAATGCCAATAATGGTGTTTATGGCCCAGACAACGCCAGCGATTTTCACTTGTCAAGAGGACAGTCAAGTTGGAGCAGGCAGATGACAGATTATTTGAGCATTTATAGCGGAGTGGGTGGTTTGCTAAAGAGAATCGTCTCAGTACCTCATGGTTACTAGTATCTGTCAAATGCCTCTTATTGCTAGTCTGCATTAGAGCATAGCAGAATTGATCATATCACAAGTAGTGTCAAGACTTGATGTCCTACGATTATACTCAGATCATGTTGTAACTTCACGGCAATATTCGTCCTGCCATTGTACGCTCTCCCAGAATTGCCTGCAGAAGTCACGCGCCTGTGCAAGGGAAAATGCGTTTGCATTGCTTACGGATGCAAGCGGATGGAGTGTAGAACAGATGAGAAAAAGTGATCCGGATATTCAACTAGCTTGGACCGCCATTATAAATTTGCCTGATGCCTGGACTATCTGAACATTGCTCCAAACCAATCCAAAGAAGCAATACCCACACAGGAAGCCAAATGATAAACCCATTCATCAGCTATCGAACCTTTCATCAAAACATAATGCAGTGCATGCCTACTACTACTCAAACGAGATCAACGGATGCCACATGCCACACAGATACAACGTGGAGGCTCAGTATTTTCAAGAACCCAGTGCAGTCTAGACAACTAGAACAACGAGGCTTGCACCTAATGTCCCTCGATTTGCTTGCCGTATTTAGTTCCTTGCAATTCTCCCAGGGATATGCACCACAGTATGAGATATATGAGGGATTCCGGCAGCATGATAGATCAATCGGTGTGTGCATGTGTGCATGTGTGTGTGTGTGTGTGTGTGTGTGTGTGTGTGTGTGTGCGTGTGTGTGTTTATGGTAGTTTGAAGCAAGCCGTATCCGAGAACCGGTCACTGAGTCTGCAGTGTCGTCGTCGCGTGTATGTTGCCGTGGTGCTCTCTACCTTCCTGTACGGCGCGGAGACAACGAAGGCTCCGGACCTACGACACCTCAACCTTTTCCACCATCAATGTGTCAGATCTATCGTTGGAGTGTCGCGACGGCAGCAATGGGAGACCCACGCTACGTCCTCAGCCCTTGCAAAGATCCTTGGAGTGCCTGAGGACATTGGTCACATCGTACGGGAATGGCGTTTGCGCTGGCTTGGACACGTGGCACGGATGGAAGATCACCAGTTGCCGAAGTGTGTTCTCTTCGGTGAACTGCCTGCCCCGTGCTCCGCGCGTGATCCACGCAAGAGGTGGAGGGACGTCGTTATGCATGACTTTGCGTCGGTTGAGCCACCGGTACCAACATGTGGATGGTACAATGCAGCCCAGAACCATCCGGAGTGGCGTGCCATTGCCCGTCGACCACCCAAGGCACCCTCTGCTGCTGGCTACGGTTGTGCCTGCGGCCGCATGTTCCGTCGAAGCGGCGACCTGAAACGCCATCAGTCATTCTGTCGTGGACTGGAGAAATAACAATGCGCTATCATTGCTACGCAATAGGCAAGGTCAAGGTGTGTTTTTGGTGGTACAGGAAATGCTATGTACGCCTCTTTTGTCGCTCACACATTATCCATTGCCGGCATTGGTTACACGTTATTATCAATTTGTTATGACCTTCGCTGGTCTGCATACCCACCCACTCTACTCCCTACTCTACTCTCTAAAGTTGAGACTTTCGTTTGCCATTTCATCCGGTAGTTTGACTCTGTGAGAATATCCCTGCTACATGTACATGTATAATATAATATATACTTTACAATTATCCTTGTACGTGTCTATCTTCTTGATACCATGACTTTCTTTGAAGGTCTTGTGGCTATGAAATGTTATTTGCTGCAGGTCATGTGTGTGGTGTGGTGTGTGTGTGTGTGTGCATCCGTGAATGTCCCACGCTTGGCCCGTGGGTAAATATACAGTCATGTATATGTTATGTGCCACACCAATTTCGCTATCTGTATAATATTATGCAGCACAGTGGCAGGCATAGAGAGAGAGAGAGAGAGAGAGAGAGAGAGAGAGAGAGAGAGAGAGAGAGAGAGAGAGAGAGAGAGAGAGAAAGAGAGATACGTTTTAATAATGTGTCTGAGGTGAATTCTTCACTACTACATGTACTTGTATGATCGAGCGTACGAATGTGTGTGTGTGTGCGTGTGTGTGTGTGTGTGAATATCCCACGCATAGCCACGTGCGCGGTGACACACAATTACATTATGTGTAAAACAGCGGCTGGTAGAGAGATAGAGACAGACAGACAGACACAGAAAGACAGAAACAGAGGGATGCGCATAAAGAGCGACAGACAGAGACACAGACTCGGAGAGAAAGAGGCAGAGACAAACAGACAAAGAACAGACTGAGGAGAAAACAGACAGAGACAGACAATCAGACACAGAAAGACCGAGAAAGAAACAGAGGGACGCACATAATGAATGACAAAAGGAGAGACAGACACAAAGACTCAGAGAGCCAGAGACAGAGGGTCCTTAGGGAGAGACAGAGAGAAAAAAACTGAGAAAGGGAGAGGCAGGTCGAGAAGGAAGAAGACACAGAGACTGAGAGAGGGACAAAGAGAGACAGAAGAAGAGAAGCAAACGGAGAAACAGCGACATAAGTACAGGGCCAAGAAGACAGACAAACGAAAAAAGACAGAAAAACATAGAGAGACAAGCAGAGACAGACCAAGACAGGGAGACAGCTGGAGAGTTACAAAGACAAACACAGATAGGCAGACAGAAACGCCGAGACGAAGATTCAGAGAAACACATAGAGAGATAGATAGAGAGAGAGAGAGAGAGAGAGAGAGAGAGAGAGAGAGAGAGAGAGAGAGATAGGGAGAGAGAGAGAGAGAGAGAGAGAGAGAGAGAGAGAGAGAGGGAGAGAGAAGAGAGAGACGCTCGCACACACACACGCGCGCACATACACACACACACACAGAAACAGGGAGAGAAACTGAGAAAGAAAGAGACAGAGAAAAGTGACCGAGTGAGGGACAAAGAGAGACACACAGAGAAAGACTGAAAAAGAGAAGCAGTCAGAGAAACAGAGACAGACAGATGGAGACAGAGAAACAGAAAGGAAGACAGACAGACTTACAGACAGATGGACAGACAGACAGATAGGGACAGGCACACGGACAGAACGAGATAGGCAGACAGCTAGAGAATGACAAAGACAGGCATACAGAAAAACCAAGACACAGACAGAGACACATAGACACAGAGAGAGAGGGGCAGACAGATAGATAGATAGAGAGATCAATAGAATAGAGAGACAGACAGACAGAGAAACATGTGGAGACACACAGATACGAGAGATTTCGTTCGTTGGATTTCTAATACTGAAGTAGTATAATACAAGTAGGTAGCAGCATAATGCACACAGATCTAGAGTGCTGAGAGTTGTCGAATGCGGCGAAAGCAGAGTGTAGTAGACACTACAGGAGTGAAGCAAAGCTGATTTGTTGTAATGCTGCCTGACTGCTTGCCTGTGCTGCCTGATGATTGGACTGGGCAATGAACCAGCCTTGTACCACTGCTGTACTGTGTGCAAAAACGTATAATGAGGTGAACTCATAAAACAGTGAGCCAAAAAAAATGCGATTAAAAAGCCGATTCACAAACCAGGTAAAGACAGGAAGAGAAGGAAAGATGTGTGCGCATATACCCTGAACCCGTGCACGCACACACACACATACACACACACACACACAGAAGGGAGTTGCACAGACATTTGCCCAACATTGTCCCATGATAATGAATTCTTGAGTTTTTGGACATTGTATTGCATTGCTGCTCCATCTACATGGCTGTATTTGTGTTTCACATCTCCATTTCAAGTTTCCTAATAAAGATTGTGTCAAGTAGTAGTAATCCCTATTTCGTGCCTTGGAGTTACAATTGTGTTCTTTTCTTATTTTCTCGCTAGCTTCTCTGATTATTGATTTTGAATTGCCTTCATCATTGTTTTGCTTTGAATCTCTTTTTCGTTTTTGTTCCTTTTCCATATTTATAACTTCGGGTTCTTTCAAATAAAGATTTTGAGTAGTGGTGGTAGTAGTAGTGGTAGTAGTAGTAGTAGTAGTAGTAGTAGTAGTAGTAGTAGTAGTAGTAGTAGTAGTAGTAGTAGTAGTAGTTTTTTCTTTTGTATGAATCTCAATTCTATGGTTTCATTTCTGGCGGTGTTCAAGCAGTTCTGGTTTGGATGTTTTTCTTTCCTTTTCCTTCCCCTTTTTTCATGTATAAACATTGCTGTTGCCATTAATATTTGTTATCTTTCTATTTTGTTACAATTTTGCTGTTCACCTTTTGAATTCATTGCCCTCCTTGCATTCACATCTTCATTGCTTTGTGCTTTCAATAAAAACACATTTCAGTAGTAGTAGTAGTAGTAGTAGTAGTATTTATTATTTGACTAGGGGAGTCCCAACAGGCATGGCCTTGTTACAGGGAACCCTAGGTGAATCTTTGTGAGGTGAGCAAAGGTACCAGCAGATTGTGCCTGACGACAGTTTGGAGGAAGAGTGTTCCACAGACCTGCCGCCAGAAAAGAAACTGAGCGCAGTCCATACCCAATATGTGCAGTAGGTAATACTAAGGCAGCTGTATCCTGGCCACGAGTACGAGCATTTGTGTGCGGGCCAACTGAACGCTGGAGAAACAGTGACTGAAGGAGGGGGCTAGCAATTGATGATAGGCAGCGATAGACCAAAACGTATAGTTTCAAATTAACTCTTTGCTCAAATGAATACAGATGACACCGTTGTAAAACTAATGCAGTTGGGGTCATTCTATCTGAACCAAATGCCTTCTTCATCCCAATATGGGTGACCGTTACAAGCCTGTTATATAGGGTAGTTTTCAAACAGTGCACATACGCATTACTTGCATATTCTAGAGTAGACTGTATAATTGACAAGTAGAAAGTTCTCCGAGCTGTAGCTGATAAATTGCGACGGCCATGAGCAAAACAGGCTAGTTTAGCGAAGACCGCTGAACACACCTTCTCTACTTGTGGGCGGAACGTAAGATGCTCATCGATTAGTATACCGAGGTATTTCACAGTAGAGACAGGGGAAATGACAATACCTTCACAGGTCAGGTACAGGGCTGGGCTCAGTGCAGGCAGGGCAGGACGCTGTATCAACATGAACTGTGTCTTAGTGGGGTTGAGCTGAAGGCCTTTCTCATCAAGGTATTGCTCCAGCAACCGCATACTATCCTGCAAGCGTAGCATAATTGTAGCCACATCAGAGCCGAATACGTAGAACGCAATATCATCAGCGTACAGCTGCACGACACTCTGGTGAAATATATCTGGTACCCGGCGAATGTAGACACAGAAAAGCAAAGGCCCAAGAACAGACCCCTGGGGGACCCCTCTTGTACAGGGTTTGGTGTCACCCTTCTCACCATTGACAGTAACCTGCTGGCTGCGATTCGTGAGATAGTCTGAGAACCACTTGAGGACAGTGCCGCATAAGCCAGTGGTGGCTAGCTCATCCAGCAGACCTGCGTGCTGCACACAGTCAAACGCCTTGCTCATATCCGCAAAGACTACTCCGCATTGGTCACCGTTGTCAAGTGCTCTGTTCCAACTCTCTATGCAAAGTGTCTGGGCATCCTCACAGCTATGGTGTCAGCGGTATGCAAATTGTTCAGCTGGTATGGCTGACAGGTCTGGATTCTGGGTGAAATACGAAGTGACTTGCTTGTGGACAACCTTCTCTAGGATCTTGGCAGCGATAGGCAACAGTGAGATTTGCCTGTAGTTGGTGGCTGAGGTCTTATCACCAGATTTGTAAACAAGGCAGACATGGGCATGTTTGTAGGCAGCAGGAAAGATGCCAGAGCGAAGGGTCTTGTTGACGATAAAAGTTAGCGGATACGAGACTGAATCTCTGCAGGATTCACCACAGCTGGCCACGATATTCAAACAGGGCTTTCAAATGCAAGATCATAACGTGAAGCGACTTGGAAGAATTAGTACGTATGCGAAGTGTATCGGCGGATGCATGCAGGGCGATAGTGCGGGTTCGAATCCCAGGTTGTGTCTTGAAAAAAATAGGAGAAATGAAAATCTCTATGCCTTTTTTGCCTAGGTCATCAAGGCAAAAAAAGCATAGCGTAGGGCCCTGAGCTTCCAAGCTCTCTCGTATTAATAATACCACACCATAATTGCGCTCTCCAGCCGACCTCGATTCGTTGCCACAGTACACCACCAGCAAAGCGACACATCCCCTGGTACTGAATTCACTCATACAGCTGTTTCAATTCACTCATACAGCTGTTTCGAGCATGAAACTCTCGTAGGTGAAGGAACATATTGTAGATTATCTAAGACAGTGAAAATCACCCTTTTGTACTGAAAGGGTTACTTTCTTAGGCCTGATCTTCGCGCCTCAGGACTGCCCCCTATCTTTACTCCTTTCGGTACAAAAAGGTGATTTTCAATGTATAGAGTATGCCTTATCTCCTGAATCACCAAAATAGGAAACAAAATTGTCGTGCATTCACGCAGCCAATCGTCACAAATAGCACGCGCATTTCCAAGCAAACACCATCAGTCAAAGGAAGACATCGCATTTTACTAGCAGCACAGCCAGCGACTTAGTTGAAAGCAGTACCACTTTGCACGTTCTCCATTGATAGCACTGGGGCGCCATGACCAGGACGCCAAACCCACAGACCGCGTCTTCCGCATGCCTGCAGACCTTTTGACGCCAGACAGGACAGCCCATGGAGTCTGGACTCACTAGGATCCACATCAGCGCGTAGTAATAATGACATACAGTCAACTTTGCAAATGGCGACTGCGGATATAACGACAATTCGCGAATAACGACAGAATTTCCATGCCCAGAGCAAACTCCCATCCCACTGTAATACATAATTATAATGAGACTTCGGGTATAACGACACTTCGCGAATAAGGACACCTTTTTGATGCCCCGCCGAATGTCGTTATAGGCGAAGTTGACTGTAATTATGTACTACTACTATTACTCCCTGATCCACGATTACTGGCCAGTACAGCATCCTTCAAACTACTGAGAGCAGTAGTAAGTATCTAAACCGATCTGCACAGCGTCTCTTCGTCCACGCTGTTGTCATCCCTGACATCAGCTATGGAAGTAGCGCCTTCTTCCACGCTATCCTTAGTGGCCAGCCTGCTCGCCTGGGTCTGCTGCAGAACAGGGCTATCCGAGCTGACAACGGCCACCCACCCTACACAACCGTGCATACCCTGTTGGTGCAGCCCAGCTTGTACAGGATAGGCGAACTGAGCAAGCGCAAGCTACTAGTGTGTGTCTGGAGGTGCCCTCCCAGAAAAGCTAGGTCCACGTTGTCTGGACTGTTCGTCAGATCTGCTGGCAGGAGAACCCGTCATCAGAGGTCCAGTTGTCTCCTCAGTCATCCATCCTCCACTCGCTCTGGCGCTTCTCGGCCGTCCGTCGCAGGATCTGCACGCTGGAAACAGCAAACCTTAGGCTCCGTTTTTCTATGTTTTTATTCTGGATGACGCAATTATACCGACATTTAAAAGTAGTGCGCTCTTTTGAATAGTGCCCCACCTGTTACGGACAGGGGCATAGTGCCCCAGGCAGGGGCACTATGCCCCAGGCAGAGGCACTAACTGTTAATCGCGCGAGTACGGTCTCACGGCAACCTTTCGTCTCTTTCTTATCACATCATCCTTTTCTATAGCCCAGCCCTCGCCCCTACCAACGTTTATTCTTTGTCGTACATGCGTGCGTGTGCCGCCGCCTTTCGCCCCAGACCTATGGTAGATATTCATTCGAACAACTGCAGCTACTGTAGATCACACACAATTGGCCGGTACGAGGCAGATACTCCTTTCTG